GTAAGCGTAGTAGTAGTAGTAGTAGTAGTAGTAGTAGTCGTAGTAGTAGTAGTCGTACTATTATTCGTAGTAGTAGTCGTAGTAGTAGTAGAAGAAGTAGTAGTAGTAGTAATGTAGTAGTAGTAGTAGTGTAGTAGTAGTAGTAGTAGTAGCACAAGCAGTAGTAGTATAGTATAGTCGCGTAGTAGTAAGTAGTAGTAGTAGTAGCAGTAGTAATGTAGTAGCAGTAGAGGTAGTACTAGTAGTAGTAGCAGTAGTAGTAGTAGTAGTAGTGGTAGTAGTAGTAGTAGTAGTAGTAGTAGTAGTCGTAGTAGTAGCAGTAGTCGTAGTAGTAGTAGTAGTAGTAGTAAAAGCAGTAGTATCAGCAGTAGTAACAGCAGCAGCAGCAGCAGTAGTAGTAGTAGTAGTCGTAGTAGCAGTAGTAGTTGTCGTAGTACTACTAGTAGTCGTAGTAGTAGTAGTAGTAGTAGTAGTCGTCGTCGTCGTCGTCGCAGTAGTAGTATCAGCCGTAGTCGTAGTCGTAGTCGGAGTAGTAGCAGTAGTAGTAGTAGTAGTAGTAGTAGTAGTAGTTGTTGTTGTAGTCGTAGTAGTGGTGGTAGTAGTAGTAGTAGTAGTATCAGTAGTAGTAGTAGTAGTAGTAGTAGTAGTAGTAGTAGCCGTAGCAGTAGTAGTAGTAGTCGTAGAAGAAGAAGTAGTAGTAGTAGTAGTAGTAGTCGTAGTAATAGTCGGCGTCGCTGTCGTATTTGTAGTCGACGTCGTAGTCGTAGTCGTAGTAAGAGTAGTAGGAGTAGTAGGAGTAGTAGTAGTAGTAGGAGTAGTAGTAGTAGTAGTAGTGGTAGTAGTAGAAGTAGAAGTAGTAGTAATAGTAGTAGATGTATTAGTAGTAGTAGTAGCAGTAGTAGTAGTAGTAGTAGCACAAATAGTAGTCGTAGTAGTAGTAGTAGTAGTAGTAGTAGTAGTAGTCGTAGTAGTAGTAGTAGTAGTAGTAGTAGTAGTAGTAGTCGTAGTAGTAGTAGTAGTAGTAGTCGTAGTAGTCGTCGTAGTCGTAGTCTTAGTCGTCGTCGTAGTAGTCGTAGTAATGGTAATACTAGTAGTCGTAGTAGTCGTATTTGTAGTAGTAGTAGTCGTCGTCGTCGTTGTCGTCGTCGTCGTAGTAGTAGTAGTAGTAGTGGTGGTAGTAGTAGTAGTAGTCGCGTAGTAGTAGTAGTATTAGTAGTCGTAGTAGTAATAGTAGTAGTAGTAGTAGTTAGTAGTAGTAGTAGTAATAGTAGTAGTAGTAGTAGTAGTTAGTTAGTAGTAGTGTAGTAGTAGTAGTATAGTAGTAGTTAGTAGTAGTCGTAGTAGTAGTAGTAGTAGTTAGTAGTAGTGTAGTGTAGTAGTAGTAATCGTAGTAAGTAGTAGTAGTAGTAGTAGTAGTAGTAGTAGTAGTAGTAGTAGTAGTAGTAGGTAGTAGTAGTAGTAGTAGTAGTAGTAGTAGTAGTAGTAGTAGTAGTAGTAGTAGTAAGTAGTAGTAGTAGTAGTAGTAGTAGTAGTAGTAATAGTAATAGTAGTAGTAGTAGTAGTAGTAGTAGTAGTAGTAGTAGTAGTAGTAGTAGTAGTAGGGCAATCCGGGTCCATGTTCTGCTTTCGGAGGCCCTTGAGTGATTCTGCGAGAATCTCTGGGATTCTGGATGATTCCTGCGGGTTCTGCAGGAATCTCGAGGCTAAGGTGTCTCAGGATTTTCCCGGAAAGGGCATAGGCCCAGGGTTCTCTTTTAGTATGTAAACATAGTCCCCCGCTCCCAACTTGAAGGAGGCCGGCGGATTCTTTCCCTGATAAATATCGAGGTCGAAGGAGGCCGGCGGATTAAAATTTGAGGATGTCTCAGGCGAAACGCTTGTTTTTGAAATCCCGATCGATAAATCACAGGGTGCGGGCCGCCTCAGCACGACCACACCCCAGCACGACCATGCCCCAGCACGACCACACCCCAGCACGACCCCGCCCCAGCACGACCCCACCCCAGCACGACCACGCCCCAGCACGACCACACCCCAGCACGACCACACCCCAGCACGACCACACCCCAGCACGACCCCACCCCAGCACGAGCCCACCCCAGCACGACCACACCCCAGCACGACCACACCCCAGCACGACCCCACCCAAGCACGACCACACCCCAGCACGACCACGCCCCAGCACGACCACTCCCCAGCACGACCCCGCCCCAGCACGAGCCCACCCCAGCACGACCACACCCCAGCACGACCTCACCACAGCGCGACCCCACCCAAGCACGACCCCACCCCAGCAAGACCACACCCCAGCAC